TTTGCTCCTGCTTTCCCCATGCCTAACCACCCTTTCCCTCACTTTCTCTGGGTCAACTTTGCTACTCAACGAGGAAGTCCCCTGTCAAACATTGTCTCTTCTGTGGAGTCCCCCCAGCCATGCCAGGGGTCCCTCACAGTGTGTGATCAACCATTCACTTACATAGAATGACTTCTGGTGCCTGCTCACCACACGCCTCCTATTTTGGGAGTTGGGGCTTGGCCACCTGCATTTTGAACAACTTTTCTAGCTGAATCTTGCACAAAGTTTGAGCACTGCTGTCCAGAGGGCTGGCCTTGCAAACCAGGTACTCAGTAAATGCCCCCTTAACCTGTGTTCTTCAAAGACTTTCCACACGAGTGCAGAGTGCACTTGGCCATGCGCAGAACTGCCTACAGGCAATCTCCCCTCACCAGACTATGAAGTACTTGGGTGTAGAGATCATGTCAGAACTATATTTAAATTCTTACCACTTCCAGCTGTGACGCCTGCTTTTTTTTCTCACATTCCATATCCTGTCCATCATGAAGTTCAAGTTGTTTTGATTTGGACCATTTACTGCCTCATTCAAACGCAGTGACCTTAGTCTACGCTATCATCATCTCTCTCCCACGGATCTTTCCTCTCACCCTTGTCTGCTCCCTTACTATGCAACGTCCAGAATCAGTCTTCAAAAACATGTTAAATATTTGCAAATCACATATTCAAGAAAGCACTGGCAAGGCCCGGACTGTGGCACTGTGGGTTAAGTGGCTGTCTGCAGTGCTGGCATCCCATATGGGCGCTGGTTCAGGTCTTGGCTGCTCTACTTCCTATCCAGCTCCCTGCTAATGGACCTGGGAAAGCAGCAGAAGGGCCTCTGCACTCATGTGGGAGACCTGGAAGACGCTCCTGGCTTCAGCCTGGCCCAGCCCTGACTGTTGTGGCCACTAGGGGAGTGAACCAACGGATGGAAGATTTCTCTTTGTGTCTCTCCTACTCTCTCTGTAACTCCCTTTCAAGAAAACAAATCTTAAAAAAAAAAGAAAAAAAGAAAAGAAAAATACCAGATTTCTGGCCTCACCTGCAGGGTAAAATAAATAAATAAATAAATAAAGCAAGCAAGCACTGGTACCCAGAGGGTATAGACAATACTAAAAACTCAACAATATGAAAAATTAAAGCAATTGTAAATGAAGGGGTAATAGACCCAGACACTCTACTAGTGAGGATATAAGTATAGCAATTACACTCATGAAAAGATATTCAACATAATCAGCAAATTAGAAAATGCAAATTAATACCACGCAATGCAAATTAATATAACTAAATTATTAGAATGGCTATAAAAAATACTGACAATGCCAAAAACTGACAGAGGACACAGAACAACTGGACCTTTTATTGCTGATGAGAATACAAAAATGGACAGCCACTCTAGAAAACATTTTGACTAGGGGCTGTCGCTGTGGCACAGTGGGTTAATGCCCTGGCCTGAAGCGCCAGCATACCATATAGGCACCGGTTTGAGACCTGGCTGCTCCACTTCCACTCCAGCTCTCTACTGTGCCCTGGAGAAGCAGAAGATGGCCCAAGTCCTTGGGACCCTGCACCCATGTGGGAGACCCAAAAGAAGCTCCTGGCTCCTGGCTTCGGATCAGCTTAGCTCCAGCCGTTGCAGCCAATTGGGGAGTGAACCATCGGATGGAAGACCTCCCTCCCTCTCTCTCTCTGCCTCTCCTTCTCTCTCTGCAACTCTTTCAAATAAATAAATAAATCTAAAAAAAAAAAAAACAGTTTGACTATTTTTTTAAAAGTTAAATCCCTATGTCCCAGGGATCTACTGCCTCAGAAGCAAAATTTGTGTTCACAAAACAACCTCAACACAAATGTATAGCGTATCCTTACACACACACACACACACACACACAAAATCACATTCAGTTTTCATGATCATTTTTGAAAACTGCCAACATATATGAAGATAGGAGAAACTTTCTCCAAACAGAATGGCATAAACCCTAAAAGCCACCTGTGAATTCCCTGCATCCTACCCCATGCCAGCTAGAGATTCCATGGTTATCTTAAATACAGAAAACAATGAAGGTGCAGGGACCGAAGCTGTGGTGTAGTGGGTAAAGTTGCCGCCCGCAGTGCCAGCATCCCATATGGGTGCTGGTTCGAGTCTTGGCTGTTCCACTTCTAATCCAGCTCCCTGCTAATGTGCTTGGGAAAGCAGTAGAGGGTGGCCCGAGTCCTTGGGCCCCTGCACCCATGTGGGAGACCCAGAAGAAGCTCCAGACTGCTGGCTTCAGATGAGCCCAGCTCCAGCTGTTGTGGCCATTTGGGGAGCCAATCAGCAGATGGAGGATCTCTCTCTCTCTCTCTCTCTCTCTCTCCCCCTTTAACTGTGCCTTTCAAATTAATAAATCTTTAAAAAGATGGAAGTGCAGACAATTCCATGTTGACTTTCCCTATTTCTTTGTGTCTAGGCCAGTGTTAGAACAGTAATTATTGCTCAGGACTGTGTGTGCAAAAATCATACACATTCTTGGTGATTAAAATATGCTCAAGGGCATTTTTGGCTAAACATGGTTTTCACCCCCATACTACGGCTTTGGAACCTAAAGGAGGAGCGCTATGCTCCCGGCTTCCTCTCATCTACTTGATTGCTTGACAATCAAAAAACCTTAGATCTAGAAGCTCTAAATCCTTACCAGGGCAGAAAACCCTGGGGTTACCACCCACTTCCAATAAGAGGGGCGTGGAAGATGGACACTCCCACTGGACGTCTCTGCTCCTCTCCCACTCCCCTCCCCTTTGCTGCTGCCAGCCTTGCTCTCTTCTCCTGCAGAGTAAGTACAACCCATCTGTCTTATGACAACCATTTGACTGTCTTAAACCTGTGGCTGGAGTGACACTTTGTTAACATTACAGATCCTAAAAAGAGGTAAGCATCTGCCTTAGGCTTGTTGTGGATTGCCCGATGGTTTCTATTGCTGGGTACACATATCTGTTCACTCAAGATACTGAGCCCCCACCTCCCCATTCAGGCCACACCAACAATTATGTTCAACATTTTGGGAGCTGTATCTGGAAACATGCAGCTTTGTTTTGAAGACAAAGAACAGAACCCACGTGTCACCTGCCACCATGCCAAGACCAGAATGTGTGGTCTGTGAGTCTACCCCAGTCCTTTGCCACTGCAAGAGACTGGGGGTGATCATTAAACTTCAGCCCATCTCAAACTTTCCAAATGAAGGTTTTTTTAAATGTTTAACTCAATAATGATACAAGTGCAAACGTCTAAGTATTGGAATCCATTTCTCACCATCTATCGCCTTGTCAATTGACATGGAACAAATCACCCAACTTTTTGGGACCTCCAGTCTCTTGGTTACAAGTTGAGAGGCCTGATTTCAAGAACTGTAGCATCCTCTGATGATCTGCTGTCATCTCAGACAGTGAACCGGGTAGCACTCAACAATCTGGCTGGGTAAGTACATCTCAAAATCAGTGTGTGCTTTCCAGTACAGAGAGGAGCATGCAAGGAAACAAAGGCAGACAAGGATTCCAGCTTCAGCCCCTTCTTCTGCCTCCTGCTGCCACCCCAGCATCTTGGCCTGTGCTGGTTTACAGACCGAGCTCCCCATTTACTCGGTGGGTAATCTCAACCCCCACCAGCCTTGATCTGTACACCTGTAGTGTGGGGTTAATTCCACCTACTGCAAGGCTGTTGAGCAGGTGTAACAATTAAGACACAGGTAAAGCACTCAGCAGACACAAGCTGCGTGTCTCCTCTCAAACATTCTTTACCCACTGGACCTGCTCGCACAGACCCAGTTTGCAAAGGCTTATCACAACTCAAGGCACAGCCAACCAGCACTGGAAGGGGTCTAAAAGCCAGCCAGTCCATCTCCCTCCCACCTCTGGGATTTACAAAGGAGGGTACTGAGACCCGACACAAGGTCCTGACTTGCTCAAGGACCTGTGTGTTTAGCAAATTCTGGCCTGGGACCCAGGGCAGCAAAGGCCAAGGTCACACAAGACACAAAGAGAACCCTCTGTAAGCTCCATGCTCACTAAAGAAAGGGGATTCCTCCCTCCTCTCCACTTAGAACCAAGTCGGGAAACATAAAAACAGAACTTTTTAATCGCATGTTCTGGGAAGGCTGTAGCAGAAAGGCAGTGTCTTGTCTAGGAAATGCAAGGGTTTCTTGAATTGACTACAAAATGCAGGTCAGAATTCTTGCTTGCAGTCTTTCCTGCTAGGCTGCTGCCTTCTGCCCACCCTTGCTCTACCCTGTGTAATTTACACCCGGAGGACCCTTTCTGGACAAGGTGGGGAATTTTGGGCTAGAGCCACTGTCCATGCCCTATTAAGTACAAATAAGAAACCCATCACAACCATACCACCCACAATACAAAAAGGCTTCCTCTCTATGGCCCCAAGAGCCCAGTTTGGAACACCTAGCAGAGTTTCCGTGTTCATTAAGGCACACGGATAACTCGAGGGCCAGGGACCCCAAGCTCCTCTCAAATGACATGCACTGAGTCCTGAGACCATGCAGGATTTTCTGAAGAATCTTCAGTCTCAGGTTTATGGAGGGCCACTGGCTGAGCTGCAGAACTAAAGGGGAAGCCCCAGCAACATAAGGGGGAGCCTGGGTCACAGCTGACTCCAGAGATACAGCACTACCCTGCCCAGCTCTCTTCCGGCTCAGGGTCCCAAAGGACACATACAGCTCAAATAAACACTTGGCAAAAAGCTACAGCAAGAACATGCTTGGTCTAGCTCCTGGTGCTGCTCCCCAGGCCATGTCCATCTGAGGGCCCTAACCCAAGCCTCGCACTGTGCACTTCTGCAAAGAGACCCAGGAAAAGGAAAAGGAGATGGTCCTGCCCTGTTCACACTGCATGCCAGCGGCAGCCACTCCACTGAGCCCCCTACCTGATCCGCAGTCTGGGGCTGTCCCTCCCCCCTGCCAGGCCCACTCCCTCTTGCAACACCTTGGGCTCACCTCCTGGTTCTGAGGATTCCGCCAGGTTGAACAACAGTCAGAAGCAGGTGGTAGCTTAGCGATTCATTCGAGGGGACTTGGGGCTGTGCCCATCCCCGATGGCAAGGAGACTTGGCAGCGTGGAACTTTGAAAGGGCTCTCTTTGCTCTAAAGGATACTCCTCCACCTCCTCCTCCTCCTCCTCCTCCCCTTCCTCCGCCCCCTCCTCTGTAGTACTACAGGGACATGTGCTCTGCTTGGGAGGAGGTGAGGAGGAGAGTATGGCTGCTACTGCAAGAAGGGCAACAATCTGCTGGGCCCTGCTATGTACTCACACCTAGAAGTGGAATGCGAGAGAGAGCTCTTTCTGCTGCCAGAGAATTATTAACCCCTGTGCTGCAGCTCTGCTCCTCACACAGCTGAAGCAGGAGAAACAATACACTTAACCAATGGAGCACCAGCCAAAGACATTACATCACCGGTCAGCACCGCCATTGGCTAATAATTCCTAGAAGGCAAAACTCTGCTGCTAGGTGCTTAACCCTTTCAAGCTTATCAGAGCAAGCAGTATTGGATAGGAACCAATGGCTCCTGGAGTTGATTTATCAGAATCATCTGGCGTGCTTTCTAAACATACACATCACTGGGGTCCACCTCTAACCATCGAAACCAGAGCCTCGGAGGGAACATGGTCATGTGTGAATAGTGTGCACAGGTTGGGGACCTCTGGTCTCTCACAAACTCTTCCTCCCTGAACCAAATGACATTTTCTTGAGCATTTGTGATGTGCCCAACATTTGAGTATGCTGGCCCATTCATTTCTGATACTGAGCAGTGGACATTCTTGGCTCTGTTTGAATAAAAACAAGGTTCAGGGGCTGGTGCTGTGGCATAGTGGTTAAAGCTGCTGCCTGCAGTGCTGGCATCCCATATGGACACCAGTTCGAGTCCCGGCTGCTCCACTTCTGATCCAGCTCCCTGATAACAGCCTAGGAAAGCAGCAGAGGTTGTCCCAAGTCCTTGGGCCCCTGCACCCACATGGGAGACCCAGAAGAAGCTCCTGGCTTTGGACTGCCTCAGCTCCGGCCATTGCGGCCATTTGGAGAGTGAACCTGCAGATGGAAAATCTGTCTCTTCCTAACTCTGCCTTTCAAATAAATCAATTTTTTTTTTAAATACAAGGTTCAGGGAAGGACAAGTCACTTGCTTGAGACACGGCTGTTTGCACCCTACCCTGATAACTCCCTTTGAGGCGCCCACTTTAAGTCATGGTTGCCCTTTGTTTACTTGCTATCTGCAGAATGATAGAAACTACAGACCCTCTTGATGAGTTGGAAAGCAATCACCTGTGAAGAACCCTTACCTGCAAAGAAAGGCAAGTTCTTGGAGCAGGTGTTCAGGCATCACCACCCACCCCACACACACCCCAACTCCTCCACCTCCCAAAGAATCATTTTCTTTCCCAAGATCATTCCTTCAGCTTTAGCTGCCAATCTCGGGTTAACTGTCACTTCATCTAGGAAGACTCATCCCACCCCCAAGCCTGGGACAGATGCACCTGCTCTATGCTCCCAAGGCCCCCTTGTAACTGTGGGCTGCAGGTGTGGTTTACTGGGTAGATTCCATGAGATTAGAGTCACTTCTGCACCAACAAATGCCCACAACAGTGCCTGTGGTGTGTGAATACTCAATCATGGAGGGAGGGAGGTGGGTAGGAGGGAGAGGGGCATGGGCGAAGGAAAAGTGCTGAAGTTCTCAATGGCATCGCGCTGAGATGGAGCAGGCAAAAGAATGGAAGCCTGGAGACCAGAAGAACAAACGGTCTCACCTTGGGCAGGTTCATTTATGGGGTGGGTGTTTGTTTCCTCATCTGAAAATGAGGACAACAGCAGCCTGTTGTAAATAGTGACGAAGATGTAACTAGAGAACAATCCAGGCTCCAGCTCTCCCCTTAGACCCTGTCTCCCTAGAATGCACCCATTTTGGTGGCTGACATCTAAGAGCTGACAGCTGCCATATTTATCTCTGCAGACGACAGGCACGTGTCCAGGGGCTCCTCCAAGAGGGTGCGTGAATTTTATCCCCTTTGTGCAACCTGCTTCCCACCCAGGCTCTCTGTGATGTGCGTGATGTTCCCATCCTCCCAATCTTCTTTACAGCCTTTAGCATTTTAGAGTATATAATTCAGCAGCAATTGGCACATTTACAATGCTCTATAACTATCACCTCCATCTAGTTCCAGGAAACCATTCAGCTACTAAGCATTCACACTCTGCTCAGCCTTCCACCTCTGCCTCTGGCAAACACCAATCTGCTTTCAGCCTACTGGTCTACATATCCCGAAAGTTTCCTCTAACAGGAACCACACAGTGTGTGACCTTTTGTGTCTGGATTCCTTCACTTGTATTTCCACATAATATTCTCAAGGCTCACCCGCGTTGTGGCACATATTAGCACTTTGCTTTTTGTGGGTGAGTGATGATGTTTCAATGCATGTGTGCACCACAGTGTGTTGATGTCTTCACCTGCTAATGGATGTCTACCCAATCCCAAACCATGAGACTAGCCATCATCCTTGGGCCCTTCCTTTCCTATGGTCCCCCAATACAAAATATCAGCAAGTGCCACTCATTACATCCAAAATACAGCTCAAGTCCTTCTACTCGTCTGCAATACTATTATTATCCTTGAGCCCAGACGACATCCACCTCTTTTCCTCACTTCAAACCAGTGACAAGATCCCATTAATCTTTTTCTCTACTCCATTTTCCACTTGGTAGTTCCTGAGACTCTTTTGGAACATAAACCAGATTGTTTCATTCATTTAAGCATTAATCCATTAATCCATTCATTTAAACGGCATCTACTGAGTGCCCTTCATGGAGTCTGCCTCCTGGGGGCGTGACACAAACATAAACTTTTGTATCAGATCATTGCTAGTCCTCCAATGACTTCATTGCCTTTTGGGTAAAATCCAAGCTCAGTATGACCCCCACCCCACCCCTGCCAAGGCCCATCAACTTCAAACTTGACTCGTTCATTATGCTGTCATTCTGACAGGCTTGCTTCCTCCACCGCATGGTCCTTGAACAAGCTGTTCGTTCTGCCTCTTGATCTTGGCATTGCTGGCGCTTTCTCATCCCGTGGACGTCAGTGTAAATATCAGTCCTCTGAGTCGCTGATCTATAGAGCAGATCTGCCCTTCATTCATGTCACTCACTCAAGAAATAGATGGTAAAATCAGGAAATGTGTGCTGGGCTCTTGGGAGACAGCACTGTATGTCTTCCTGGGGGCTGTATTCTAGTGGAGAGGTTCAACAGCAGGGAAGGAAGAACAATAGATAAAGAAGTGCTATGCAGGCAGAGTAAAGGGAAGGGGGCGTGCTTTACAAAGAATATTCCAAAAGGCCTTTCAGGGGAGGCTATATTAAAACTGAAGAGTAAGAACTCAAGTGGGCAAAGTGCCTGTTCTCTGTCACATCCTGGCAACGCACTACAATACAACGTTCCATCCCTCATGTTTGCTTTTGAAGAATCCAAGTAGTTAACGTCCACCTCTCTCTCTCCCTAACAGACTGCACTATATTCCCAGCACCTGGGACAGCACCTGCCATTTGAGGTGTGCTCCATAGGTTGACTGAATTAATAAGTGGTTAAGTGAAAGGGTTCTTAATCTGTTGACTCACCCACAAAAGCACTATGTCATCTGTAACGAATCTGTAATCGTGACTGCTATTTGTATTTTATGGCAGAAGGACGGCTGGGTTTTGCAAACACGACAATGAAAGTACCTCACTTAGAGTACCCCTGAACAACGGGGAGAGAATGTGTGCACCTAAGAGGCACTCAGCAGCTGCAGCACTTGCTATTAAAGGCTCTTCAGACAATCTGATTTACTCAATTGAAACTCCAAAACTCATCTTCAGATGCAGTCCAGAAATTTCAAGGTGAGAGAAGTGAGCAGCTTTTAAGTGTGCGCTCAGCACCAGCACTATCCCTGACTTCCCAGAGCCCTCCCGCCACGTAGGCACTGCACGCCTTGGTAGAGCTCTCGGCCCCCTCCAAGGCCAAGATACTCACACCTTCCCCACCCCAGCTGCGGGCAGTGTTAGCTGCTGACAGCTCACAGTTGAGCCCTATTCAGGACCTGTCCTGCTTAACAGGTGCCCAAAGTGATGCCCCCTCCCTGGGGCCAGGCTGCACCTGCTGGTGGTCAACAGGAGGCCACTGGGAGCCTGGCCAGGTTTCGTCCTCCCAGGACACACCTGTGAATGCTGTAAGGGTGTATGGTAAGGGCTGCGGGCTTCTCAGTCCCTGACGCCTCCCCACCGGACGACCTGAAGTTCTAAGTGAACTCACTGGGCTTGCCAGTTCCTTCCTGGTCACACCACAAAATCTGCCTGGAGTTCCTGCTCCAGGAACACAGTCTTCAGCCAAAGCCCGCTGCTCCTCCCCACCCCACGACTGCCTCCTCTCAGAAGCTTTCCAGGCTCCTCAATGCCCTCCTGTCCACCTCGAGTCCTCCCCACTACACTGCGCGGTAACTGCCCCCCCTCCTGTCCCTCTTAGCCCCCTCGAGCTGCCCGCGAGGCCCTTCTGCGTGCCTCTGGGGCTCAGCACTGCGCCTGGGAACTCGGGAGATGCAGAGTAAGTGCGGAATAAACCACAAGTCGCCGTATCCAGTGCTAGTGTCTGCTCCTAGCTTGGCCAAGAAGCCTCTCTGAGATTGCTTCCTGTGCACAGCACGCCTGGAAATCGGAAATAGCATGACTTATGGCTTGAGGCCGACCCCCAGCTCCAAGGCAAGAGGTCACGAGAGGTCAGCCGAGCTCAGGGAGGTGCTGGACCCAGGCTGGTGCAGCACAGGGGTCCGGCCTCTGCGGTTCCCCGTGCCCGCCGCTGGGTGGAGACAGTCAGGACCCACGGTCCTGCGCACCCCCACACCCCGAACTATCCGAGCGCGGGCAGCTGGAGCCCGGGGAGGCAGCAGGACGCCCCTCTCCTCGTCTCCCTCCCGGGCCCTCCGCGCGCCCGCGCCTGCACCCGCCAGGCACCGCGCCGCGGAGCTCCGGGGACAACGCAGCCCCAGTTCGCGGGGAGCTCTCTGCTGCCAGCTGCCCCCACTAAGCCCGCTCAGCTGCGGCGGGCTGCTCACCGTGCACGCAGCCGGGGTCGCCTCGCCGCCGCCGCGTCTGCCGATCCGCTCGCAGTCCGGGAGCTCAGCTGCTGCCCTTTGCCGCGCGCGAGCGCCTCCGCCCGCGGCCAGGCCTCCCTGCGCCGCGGCGCCCCATTGGCTCGGGCAGTGAGGCCCCGCCCCCCGAGGCCTCGGCCCCGCCCCGCCTCCCCTCCCCCGCCTCCGCCCTCCGCCCTCAGCGCAGGCAAAGTTGCTGCTGTACTCGGAGCTTGGTCCCCGGGCTCAGGCGACAGAGTGAGGTCATGTTGCATCCCAGGAGGGCTCAGACGCCCCGCGGGGAGTGCGAAGAGTGTGCAGCGTCCTTGGAAGCCGGCTTTGAGCCATCACCTGGGCTCCCCGGAGACCGAGCAGCAACCTGTCCCAGCCTGGGTGCTGGAGCGCTGGGCGCTGGCGCCAGGGGCGCAAGAGGGCACAAGACAGCCTGACGCCCTGGTGCAGTCTGCGTGGGCTGCGAGTGGGAGAGACCATACGTATACAATGGAACAAAACCAATTCCAACCAAACAAGATGATGTGATGCAGTCCCTTGCCATAAGCACCGTGAGGCGCGGTGGGAGGGAGGTGATCAATAGGAAAGAGACCCCGGCGCTGCTATACCTGGGCCGGCTTTGGGGGCCCCAGGTGATGCTTGAACTAAGACTTGGAGGATCTAAATGATTCCAGGGCTGGAGGGGGAGCATTGCTGACAGAGGGAAAGACACGTGTAGGGCAGTTCTGAGGCTGCGACTGCAACTGACACTAGGGCCCAGCCAGCAAGGAAAGGACAAATGAACTGGGCCCAGAGAGGTAGACCAGATAGAGCACAAAATTTCCCCCAGGGCACTGAGGGCCTACAGGGGGCTAAAGCAGAGGCCCAGGTCCGAGATGGCAACAACTCATCAGGCTGGTGATGGCAGGATGGGGCAAGGTGGACACACTGCAAGACAGGTGGAGCGCAGCATGAGAAGACTTGATGGTGGGCTGGATGTAGGAGACAGGGAGGAAGAGGAAGAAAACATGTCTCCCAGCTGTTTAGCTTGAGCCCCGCATGGGGTGATGGTGGCTTCCCAAGGTGGGGGAGGTTCCCCTCCAGCGACCCTGGACTTGGGAACTCAGAGGCTCTAAGACTACAGCAGGGACATGACCTCCAAGAGGACTGGTTGGGTAGTTGAGTGCCAAGGGAGGTGACGCTGGCAGCAGAAGTGAGGTCTGAGGCCAAGCAGGGTTGCACACTTTCCCAAGGGGAGAATTACTGCTCAGCTCCAACTGAAATACAGACCCAGAGTCACCAAAGGTTCTGAGCTTTGTGTAAGGGCCAGCAATGTGGACTATGTTAAATCTCCAGGCTTTTAGATGTTGGCAAGTTTATTAAATTTCTTAAAAACAGAACAAAAGGACTGTGTGAGTCCAGATAGCTGGACAAAACCAAAGCCATGTCTGGGCTGCATTTATCCCTTTAGCTGCTATTTTCCACCTCTGGATTAGACAGCAGCTCAGGCCCCTTCAAGAAGCTCCCTCCCAGTTTCTGTCCCGATTGGATGAGGACAGCCGTGAAAAGTAAGAGGACCAAGAAATCTCAACTCAGAAACCTACCACAGTCTTGGGGGGCATTTGCCCAGCTCCTACCTCCGCCTCCCTAGCCGGCAGATCTTTCCTAAGCCTCAGTTCCCCTCAGAGGTTCAGAGTAGAGGTCCTCCAGGTGTACTTCTAACTCTTGACATTTGGAGTTATGTCGTAATAACAGGGCTTTTTCACTGCTGGTTTTCTGAAATGTGCAGGAAAGTTACTTGGGGAACCATGGAAGGGGCATTCATGTCTAATCTATGAATCAGAAAAGCATATTGCCAGCACTTTTAAGAAAAGAGAAAATTGAAATGGAGGTTACAGGAGAAACCAGGAAAATCATGACATAGAAAATTATTTTTATTGCACTATGAATAAGGCAAAGAAAGGCAATTAGATGCAGGCCAGCTTAATGGTTTCTATCGAAAGCGCAGTGTATTATAGCCAGTTCTCGGTATCTATCACCGAGGGGTTTGCAGTAATGAGAGTCTCCCATCATGCCTTAGAGGTCTGCAGCACCCCCACATTCTTTATTCTTATTACTGAGCACAGGCTATGAAAAGGGACTGGACACAGATAATCATACTCTGAACTCAGTGCCTTTTGCTCCTCCATCCCCCACCTTAGATATTGTTTAAAGCTGAAGAAATGGTTTATTATTTCGTAAATCACTGGGCTTTCTGTGGAAGCATGGACACAGGGCCAAGAGTCGGGAGACCTGAGACTAAATCATGAAATAGCTTGTCTGAACCCCTCTCACCAGTGAGGTGAGAGCTGGACAAAGGGCGGCTGCCTAGAAGATGTGTATATGCTATTTGTACTTCCACATTTCTTTGGGGGAATTTTTTCATCATGAGGAAACCTGACAATTCCCAAGCCCCCTCCCATTTAACAGCCCCCAAAATCCTTGAGGCAGGGATGTCACCTAGGTTGGAACTGTTGGATGCTTGATTCTGGGACTCTGCCTCTCCAGAAAGCAACAAAGATGAAGAGAGGTTCTGGCCATGAGACGGTGATGCTGGCCACAGCAGGTGCATCCTGAAGATTGGATCGCTTGGGCATCCATCTTGCTGCCCACGCTTGTGAAGCTCCCACCTCTGATAAACACCCTTCCTGTGTTAGTCACCCAGGTTACTTCT